AATTTTGGAATATGTACACAAAAGAGCTTTCAGTTTTAAATGAAAGCTTTCCATATGTGGCAAGTTTTCACAAAGTAAGTTAAGCTTTCGCTTAAAAAGCTTCAGATAAATTAATGCTTTATTGAAGAAAATGTACCTTAAAAAGTATTCACTTTTAATGGATAACATCTCACAAAATAAACAGAGCTATTGCATGAAAATTTTTTTCTTGAATTATTGCCCTAAAGGCTTTCATTCCATCTCTACCAAACCGTCTGACAACAGTCCAAACTGGTCCAAATTGACACCAGTTGCACTCAGCGTCCAATAGCTTACTGTTTAAAGTTAACTTTCAAATCCTTCTCTATCTTTTATTCTGCATACTGTTTAACCACCTCATCCTTCTTTATACCTCTTTCGATTTTGCATACACCAGTTAAGATGTAAATTCCGCAAGACGAAAAATGCAACCTGAAAGCTGTCTGTCACTGGCGACAAACAACAGTAACAACAACAGCAAAGATGGCAGTCCAAAAATAGTTCGTACAAAAAGAAAGTGTGCCGAAAAACTGGCACACAACCATTCGCCAGCTCATAACCTAAACTAAAAAAGTAAAAAATATCAACAAAAAAATTCAATTAAAAACGTTCGACAGGAAATCCAGGCAATAACCTGCTCGAGCAGTAAATTGAGGACAAAATTTAAGTGACATATTCAAGCGTGACATTGCCTTACTTTTGCCGGTGAGCTCTGTGGCTGTGTTTCCAAAAATGCTAATTCACTTTGTTTTCAAAATTTTAATTCCATTCAATTCGTCGTGTGCTGTTGCTCAATAAGCTTTATTAGCATTTCCGCTCTTGTTGCTGCCTTGGTACACACCCACAACCAGAAGTGTTCTGCCGGCACGCTTATGCGCTATTAATCTGTTCATAAAGGAAATGCTTTTGCCGTATCTCTTTGCCATTTCACTGGTTTAGTTTCCTCTAGGTTTCCAATTGGGCGTTTGAAGTTGTATCCAACCCTAAGCTGGGCCATCAAATTCCGTCAATTAATCACAGAAGTGTTTTGCATGTGCTAGCCAAATGTCTCTTTGGCTGGCTGAATGTTACGTAGCTATTTAGTTGAATGGCAGTCTGTCCGCCTACAGCCCATAACTCTGTTTAGTCGACGACATTTCAACATTCACTGCAGCCACTCCCAGCGGCTTCACATCGCCTGACAGATTTCTATGTAGACTTCTTGCGAGCTTTCGACCCGTCTCAACTCGTCTTGCCTTCTTGCCCTCCACCTGACCCACCTTTTACTATTTGTTTATCTACGCTTTCCCGACGTTAGCCTATTTCCCAGCAATTCGTCTCTTTATGCGCGCTTTGTTTTTTATTCCTTAAAACTCACGAGCACTCAATGAATTCAGGCTTTTATCGCTTCCCTAGAAATTTTTAGTTGTGGATGGGAAGCCCATTGCCTCCATTCCCTTTTAAGTGTATTTCCCTTTCCCAGTATCGAGTGGTTCAAGTGCTTCTCCGCCTTTTTTATTTTTTTATTTTCCTAACTACACAATTTTTTCCTTTCATAGTCCCTTCCCTTTGCGCCACTTTCCTTTTTGATTGAGCAGGTGTGTGTTTACTTTCCTTCGTCTCATGCATCGCTTTTGTCGCTGATTCTTTTTTTTTTGGTGGGCGTGTCAACGCATTCGCTTTTAAGTGGCTTTGCAACTGGCATCGAATTGTCGCGTCACACGCTACACAAATGGAAATACACAAAGCGGTCCTTCTTATAACCTATGTACTGCCTTTAACCGCCGTTTGAAGAGTATCGATATGTTTTTGACAGTCTATAGCTCAAACCAAAATGCCTGAAATGGTGGGATTCTGAGAATCACTATCTCTATATCTAAATGAATATCAGCCGCTCCTAACACCATGCAACATCTAGTTCCATCTCCCTCATATTGCCAGATTTGACTGATTACAAATAATATCTGTTACTTTTTCATGTTGTAGTATACTTTTAGGCCCCACTGCCCTTCATATGAAGCTTTCTAACGATCAAAATTTAGCATAACGATTGTCGGCGTCCTAACCCACTGCAGATCTGAGTTTAAAACGATAACGGAAATTAGGTGCATTGCTTTAGTTGGGCCTTTTCTATGCATTCATTTATGTAAACTTTCGAATCAATTTAACCGTCCCAGTCTCAAGTGCCCCTAAAAGTATATACTTTACTTATTAGGCAATACAACTCTTGCTCATATAATCCTGCTAATTATATATAATCATGTACATAATCATATAATCTGCTTTGCCACTTCATCCCAAACCCGTAAAATTTTGTTTATACAGTTTTTCCTTGAAAATTACAACATTTATCGCTTGCGCCATCTACCGGCGGTGAGCAAAAGTTTTGCTTGAGTGAGGTGAATTTCTTCTAGCATGCTGTGCCGCCATCCTGTATGTTGAGTGGGTTATTTTTTACTATGGTTGTTGCCCGAACTAAATTCCCATGGTGTCGCCCTCACTGGTATGCGCTAAAAGAACTTTTTTGTATTAATTTTTTTTATTATATTAGATTTTATTTTAAATAACACTAAGAAAAAACTGAGTACGCAGTTTTTTAGTCCATTGAATTTTAGTATAATAATGTGCAAAACTGAGGTAGCTAGGACTTACCAATGATTTTTGGCAAATATTTTTGTTGAAAAATAAAAATTATAAATAAACTCTTAGAATTGTAGTAAATAAAGAAGAAGTGCTAACTTGTTTCATATTTTATGGTGCTGGGAATCAGCAAAATACTGTTTGAATTTGAAATGCAATACACATACATATGTACGTACATATGTACATAATAGGGGTATTCTCCAAATCTTGCAAAGCCATTGCACGTAGCACGGATTGCACGGATTGCATAAATTGCAAACACACAACAAGAAAATTCATGGGAAACAACATTTCCTATCGCTGCAAAATATGCAACGTCGAAACCCATGTATATATTTTGCAAAATAGCATAGCAAGATAATAGCGACCCTGTGCTAGTTGTTTTGTTGTTGGAATTGCTACATATTTCTCTCATTCCTCTCATCTCGCTCACTTAATTTTTTTTTGCTGTCTCTTGTTATTGTATTTGATACATAATTTCGCTGCTTGCTCCCCATGCATGCACCACTTTGGGGTGTTCTCGTACTCTTCGAAATTTGGAATAGTATTTTTGCATTTCGTGCAATCCATGCATCGTGCAAGACTTCGAGAATACCCCTAATGTAAATGCTGAAACATGCCACAAGCCCTGCAATTTGACATCTCACTTTTGAAAATCGAACGAGCTGTTCTTTTTGGTGTCACTCAAAATTCTGATTTAAGATTATCAAAATTTTTTCAATACAATAAAAAAAAATACAAAATTTTATAATTAAATTTTTTAAATGTATAATTGAGGAACGAACACATACTGAGTTTTTTTAAAAAAATCGTAAGAAATTAAAACTTAACGCAAAATTAAAAAAAAAAAATTACAAAACTTCAAATCGTATGTACATTTTTTAAATTTGTAATATGATTTATTTTTAAACTTAAATTAGAAAATCATTAAAAAAAAATTCTCAAAAAAACAGTTTCAATAGTTATTGGTTATAATGGAAAACGAAAAATAAATATAACGACAAACTTATTTCTTATTGTACCTATGTACATACATTTATTTTACTCGATCTTTAAAAAGTGTTTCTTTATAAATTTGTTTATTGGATTTGTATCCTTAGGTAATTTAAAAAATAGAGAAATCAGATTTTATTTTTTATTATTAGCATAAAACTAAATAGAAAATAAAATTTTATTATTCAGTCATAATAAAAAAATACGAAGAACAACAAACAGTTGAATATTTTTTAATATTATGACTTATTTTTAGACAACAATTTTAAGAAAAAAAAATTAATTATCAAAAAAATACCAAAAATTCTTGGTTGTAGATATGTGTGTGCTTAATTAAATATTTTACTTAACTTAGCTTAAAAAGAGATAAAAAAAATTCCAAAATAGGGTTACAATAAAAAACAAAAATCAACAAACAGTTGAATATTTTTTAATACCATGACTTATTTTAAGACAAAAATTTTTATAAACAATATAATAAAAAAATTTTAAAATCTCTGTTCTACTAAAGCAATAAATATTGTCTTGAAAAATACATAGATAAATATTTTATGTTACACTCATTTTAATATTCTTCACTTAGTTGATTTTTTATGTTAATTTGCGTATTAGAAAAGTTTTTTATTTGTTTGTATTAAAAAAATTTAAATAATCTTATTGCAAATCAATGTTTAATTTTTTTCGTAAAGTTTTTGCTTAAAAGTTTTAATTTAAATAAAATTTGGAAAAAAATGAAAAAAAAGTTTAACACCGACTTAATTTTAAATTTAAGATTTCAATAAGAGAATCAGAGAAGAGTTTGTTTGTCTTTTTATAAGCTACGATTTAAATTTATAATAAAATATAATAATAAATATAATAAAATTTTAGTGAAAACCCTAGAATTTTATTTGAGAAAATTTTCTTTGCAAAATATTTCAAAACGTAGCATTCTTAAGCTGTTTAAAAACATTGAAAAAATAGTAATGAAGTACACTCACCCAGAATTTGGTTAAATTTACACGTGCCCATTATAGCCATACTACACTAAAAATTAAGCTGCTCACATCTCCGCCCAACTAACAGTACTCGAAAAGTCATTCAATTAACTGCAAAAAATACCAGAGAACATTTTTCATAAATTCACTCATATGTGAACCGTTTTCACCATATTTTATGGCATACTTTGCAGCAACATTTTATTAGCTGCGCACACAGCAGTATAAAAGGTACGACTATACAAAATCAACCCTGAAAATTTATGCTTGCTGCTGCGTAGGCAGATATATGTAATAAAATGCCACTTATCTAATTCCACATCATTTGACTTTCGTTATGGAAACTTTACTAACTCATGCTTTCTATGCTTTTTTTTGTTGTATTTACAGTTATCCGAGTTGGAGCAGCGTGTCATTGAGGCGGAAGAACGCGCCGAGGAAGCGGAAGATAAGGTGAGTGAAGTATATTTTCATGCGTTTAGTGGCTAGAAAAAACGTTATGTGTATTCCAAAGTTGAAAGTGACTCTAGGAAATAATTTAAAGCAGATATAAAGAATTTGAATTCAATTGAAAAATATGAAAAATACAAAAACGAAAAGTACCTAAATGTAAAATTTCTTTGCGGAGAACTTAAGCCATTACAGCTTACAAAATTTGCTATTAAATATTCTTTACAAAAAACACTTAAGACAAGGGGTGGCTTGTCTATTTGAAAACATGTAAACCCCGAAAATCCACTTCAATGCTACATCAATAATCTACTTTTAGGGTTGCTGCCTATTTTTTCCTCGTCTGCGTAAATCTCTAAAACTTTAACACCGGAAACCACAATGAAATAAATCAATTCGTGTTTTTGCTGAAAATTTTACATAAATTTGTTCGTCTTTTAATACTCATTTCATTTCGACTCAGCGGGTGGTGGCAAAAAATCTACAGCCACGTGCCTAAGTGTATGCTTAGGATTTGTACTTGGTCATTAGTAAACACTTGAAAACTTGAAGTGATACAATAAATTTGTAGGACTCCCCTGGTGGAGGGGGGAAGGCAATGGAAAAAGTGGATTTTCAAAGTAGAGACTTACACACATAAGTTCTGCACTTAAACGAATCTCTGAACTAAATAAAAAAGAAGAAAATTAACTTCAAATAAAAAAAAATGTTTTGTTTTATTTTTCTCAAATTGGTATTGATTTCTTAGCTTTTATTTGAAAAACCTACGCTTTGAAATATAATTTAAAAAAATTGTTAAATCCTTTATACAAATTTTTAGATTCTTTTTAAATGAAAAACTTAAAATATTGTTGTTCTCATTTTGCTAGAATTATAAAACTTTACTTGAAAAAAAATCTATTTTCAATTTGCATAATTTTGTAGAAATGTTTAAAACTTTAAATTATTAAACTTACCCAAATAATTTTTCTAAAGTCGATTTTTTTTTAGTATTTGTAAAGTTAGAAAAAATGAACAGAGTTTGTTGATCATTTTTTAAATTTTTGTTTATTTCTCAGAAGTCTAGTTTTGATCCAGTACTCTTTAAGAACCTGAAAAAGCAATACATATTTCATTTTTAGTAATAAAACAAAACATTTCACTTTTTGCAGCTCATAATCCTTTTTTTTATGCAAATATTCTAAATTGTCTAAGGGATGGATTAATTTTCTCTACGATGTTTTCGAATTTTTACATGTCATTAAACAAATTAATCCCAAAAATTTAGTTCGCAAAATTAAGTTTACCAAAGTAGAAAAAATTATAAATTTTTTATTTCAAATTTAAATTTTAACTTACCTAATGTCTTAAAACATTTTTTGAACAATGTCTTTAACAATTTTTCTGGATATCTTATTTTTTTTTTCCACATCTATAATTTTAAAAAATTTAACTAAAAAAAATATATGTATTTCCAAGTTAAGAAAAATGAAATACTTTGATTAAAATGCGATTTTTAGAATAGTAGTTAAAAAAGCTTTACTTGTCTACATTTTAGAGTTAACATTTTTGTTTACTTCTTAATTCTCTTATTATTATTTCTTTGTTTCGAAAAAAAATCTAATGCTGAAGAGAAGTCATCGTAATAAATTTGTTTCTTCTGAAACCAGAAAAATATTTTTTTTTTTTTTTTTAATTTTACCAACATAAAAACAATTAAAACATTTTTGAAATATAAATTCATTTTAAATTAAATTTCAACTGATAAAATTTCCTTTTTTTACCTACTTCGTAAAAAGGAGAAGGTTATCAGTTCGCCGGAATATTTTTAATTTTTTTTTGTTATGTATGTTACCGCAAATCTTTGGACCACGTTGGCCGATTTCGAGAAAGGTTTTCCCATACTAGTTTTGTTTCGATCCGATAATTAGAACGTGAAGAAATTAACGATAATCTTAAATTTTTATATGAGAATGGAAGTCGGTTTTGTTTTTTGCTTAAAAATTACTTGTTTGGTTGTTATTTTTTTAACGTATAATTTTGCTACAAAAATCATTTCCTGTTAAAAAAATGAAATGTAAATTTTTTTTATAAGTTTTCATTTCAGGTAAAATTTTGGCAAAACTACCAGGCAAAGATTGAGTTTTTTGTAGATTTTTGGAAAAGCCTTGTTTTATAAATTGTATTAAATAAAGCTATTTATTTTTTTTATTTTATTCATAAAATTCACAACAATGGCTTAGAGAAGACAGATTGAGAATATGCGAAGAACTTAAAACTTAAAAAAGAAAATAATTTTCCGGCTCAAAAATAAAAAAAAAACTTTACCAACTTCTATACAGCTAATTTGTTTTTACTTAGAATTTTTAAATTTAAATGATTTTTTTTTTGAAAAATTTTAATTGTAATAATTTTTTACTTGTTTCTTATTTAAAAAGAACTCTAAAGAAAATTCAATTTATGTTATAATTTTCCTACATCTTTTTTTAATCGACATTTTTGTTTCATATTTTAAATATGAAATGGGGCTTTAAATAGTTTCTATTTAATTTTCAATTCAACCGGTGAGATATGTTTCAGTCAACCATTCACTAATTCACTCACCCACTCTCTATCTCACTTACTCACTCACTCACTTACTCACTCATTCACGCTTTTACTCCGAATCCGCCGCTAACTATCTTACTCCTTCGCTAACTCACTCACTCACAAAGTCACTCAAGTGAGTAACGCCCTCACTTGCTTATTTAATGACACACTCGTTCTCAGGTTGACAATTTAACTAAACGAAAAATTTAACTAAAAGACCTAACTCTCTCAGGATCAGAAAATATTAACATTTTAAAATATTTCTTACTGCCTCTCCATATTTTATTTTTGCTCTTTTCAACTCCCATTTCTTTCTATTAAGTTCAACAACTAATTATTCACAGAAAGTTTCCCTTCAATGCCAACTTCACTAACAGTTTTAGGTCTTTTCATTAACACAAGCAACTTTAAATCATAATATGTCATAATGATGAAGTTGCTATAATTATCATTTACCTTAACATAAATACACGTTCCCTCACCTGCATCCCTTTCAACGGATCTCCAACCCCGGAGTTGCAGCAGCAAGAGCAGCTGGAACAACCCACAGCGCATTACTTCGCCTTGTTTCCAACAGCAGCTTTGCATACAGCAAATAACCAACAGTTAACAACAACAACACTTCGAAGCCAGAAACACATGAAAAAAACAACAACCAATTCTTACAATAAAGCTTCACAACAATGACATGAGAGTCATTACTAATAAACAACCACACAGCCAAGGCTGCTTCATACTTCCTGTTGCACTGCGGCCCACTGCTCCCCTTCACACCGTTTTACTCTCCTTTTTCTGAGTCTAACTCACTCTGAGCTCAAGTTTGTATTTGTGAATAACAACGCGCAGCAACAAAAAGCAATTACAACAAAAGCATTTAGCCCCACCAATGGCTGGCATGTTGGCTGTAGTTCGGAAGCTGTGAAGCCCACCTTCGCAACAGTTCTGCTCTAGCTTCAGCATACACATATCCAGCCTTCGGCAGCGCCCTGGTTGCGGTGGCAACAGTAGCAAACCGGAAATACGCATTAAATGCAAATTTGTCAAGGTGTGAGTGTCTCTGTGTATGTATGTATGCCGTGTGCTATTTTAAGGTCTTCTGAATGCTCCCTGCAAGCGTTGACAAGGGAACGATGTTGCTGGGAGTGTTGGCGGGTTGATGTTGTTTTCGTAACGGCGTTACCGGCATTAACGGCGTTGCGGTTGTGTTGCTGCATAACATTCTGGGATTTATGGGAGTTTGTTGCGGTTGTTGCTGTTATTTTTGCTGCAATACTCTCCACTTTCTAGCTCATCCTCCGCAGCAACCTGGTTGCAAGCTATTAGCTCGCTCAACCTTGGCCATGGGCACCCACTACTTTTGCCTACGCATTGATGCTGAAACCGCCAAGATTTGAGAGGGGGTGGCGGAAATAAAGTCGAGGCATGAATGTGAGTGTGTCTGTGTGTTTGTGGGAAAATGATAGACAGAGCATAGGAAACAATGTGCCTGCATTAACACGTCCCGAGGGTATTTTTCATTATGCAAACAAACACTACTTGCCACCACTGCCACCACAACAGCAACAGGACAAGCAACTCATGCCTCGTACGTTTTTGCCAACGAGTGTACTTTAAATGATGCAATGTATGTCTATAAGTGTGTGTATTTATTTATGACATTCACATACATATGTATGTATGTGTGTAGTTGAGGGCGGAGACGTTTTATTTCCCAATGTCCAGACCAGGCGACGGTCATTCACTTATCATTTGACTGCCCTTCGTTTAGCAGATGTGCTTTTTTCTTTTATGCAGTAGCATACTGGGCCCACAAACACCTCTCACTCACCCATACCAGCCAGCTTCTAGCCCTCGGCTCGAACTGCACTCATTTGATTCCAACGCCTTCTTTCCTTCTTCACTTTATTCACTTTCCTTGCTTTTTCGCCCTCACTGGCCTTCCGAAGGCCTCTTTCCTCTAGCCGCCGCCTTGCATTCGTGCTATCTCCCACGCTGTGTTTGCTCAGTCATCATCCTTCTTCTGGGATCACTGCCTGTTGTGCAACAAATTGAATTTACCTTATTGCATTCATTAAAGTATTTAAACATCAAAGGCAAATACTTTGTTTTGCCACAGGGGAATAAATAACTGGAAAATAAACAATAATGCATAATCTCTCTTCGTTAAAAGTTTACAGTACGAAATTCGGGAGCCTCTTTGGCTATTACCAAAAACTCACCCACTCACTATCTGGTGCTCGTATGAAGCGCTTAATTCTTATTCCCTCATTTATTGACTTATTTATTCACTTATTAACCCACACGCCTAGGCTCACAAAATAACTTACTTACTCACCGACACGTTCATTCATTAAATCGTTCTTTCATAAATTCCCTCAAACACTCATTCGTTCACTGTCTTGCCCATTCAGTCATCCACTCACTCACTTATTGAC